CCTCTCCACTTTACGGATCGTGTCTGAACTGGATTCCCTGAATCGCATGGAGTTTTGGAGAGCATAACTCACATGACAAAGGGCAGAAGAAAGGAGTGTAGCAACAACATTCACTAATTTCATATACTCTTTCTTCTAGCTAGTCTACGTGAAAGGAAGTGAAACTTAAATTCCCTTGAATAAGTGAGTCAGTCATATCAAGGAGATTCACCACCCAGTGAAGTCTACACTGTCAACAGAAACTTATAAAGGCTTCAAAGGGGTGGCCGAGTTAGACGATTTGTTGTTTTCCAGTTACAGACTAAGAGCACTTTTAAAGACTAACAAAACATGTAGATGGTATCATGAGCTTTCGTGTGCAAAACCCACTTCGTCTGAAGAAGTGGGTTTTTCCTAAGAAAGCTCATGATACCATCTACATGTTTTGTTAGTCTTTAAAGTGCTACTAGACGATTTGTTGTTTTTTAATAGAAGTTACAGTTTTTTCTGCTTTTCAACATCCCTGGAACATTTCCTTAGCCATTTTCATGGGGACTTCAACATGGGATTCCCAGTCATATGCATACATGTTTCACACAGTATTTAATTTCTGTACATGTTCAGAGCTAGTTTTTCAATTGCAACATTTTCTCTATCACTGATTTTCCCCAGTACACCCAATCCTTGTCAGGGACAAATCAGTATTCGTTCAGATTTACAAAGCTCCTTTCAAGCCAAAACTAAGGTGTTTGTCACTACTAGAGCATTCAGAAATACCTGGTCAGTTGGCAGAACTGTTTCATTGCCTTAGCCAGGAAAGGCACACTTGCTTGTCCTAGTATACAGCAGCTCTGTACACATTGCTTATTTGTGAGAAGGCCTTGGCCGGGCAGCAGTGGCATGTGAGTTCAAAATAGCAGCGTATTAAGATGGTGATACCAAACAATAAATGATGAGCAACACTTACAACAACACAAACTCTGCTGAATTGTTTTACAACAGTGACCCTTTTGAATCTGTCATGACATAACATTAAGGTTCCTGCAGCACTCAAATTATCATCTGAATTTTTAGTCACTGAGGTCTTGAGAACCCATTTGTAACTCACATGACAAAAGGCAGAAGAAAGGAATGTAGCAACACTTACTAATTTAACTTTTTTTCTTCTAGCTACCCACCATGAAGGAACTGCAACTAAAATTCCCTTAAATATGATAAATGAGTATTAATGACATGTTATCTTGCAACTATGCCCATTAATAGCCTTCTCATTCTCTACTTGAGGGAAATTATCCATGGTTGACTTTTCTTGCCACCAGTGGGTGCAGTTGAGTCAACTCTGAATATGGCTTAATTACAAGTGCAGAGCAGGACAAAAGGGTTCAGCATCTTTTCAAAATATGCTCACTGACAGGGGAAAACTTCAGTGACTAAAAATCCAGATAACAAGGGTATATGACAGAGAGAGAGAAAGAGAGAGAATGTTACCTCATGTCGTATGCAATATTGTTGTAGATCCCAGGATGTTAGAGGGATGAAGTAATACCTTTTACTGGACCAGTTTCTGTTGGTGACACATACGACTTTTGAGTTTCCAGAGAGCTCATCTTCAGATCTGAGACAGGTACTCAGAGTTTCACAGCTCAGTACAAGGTGAAACAGATTACAAAGAGATCGCTCCATTTCTGACCAATCAGTTCTCATCTTCAAAAGAAACCTGTACAGCACCTCCAAAAAATGAGGCACAAATCATAAATTTGCTAGATATTAAAAATCATGGACTGAATAGAAATACTGGATTTATGGCTTATTATAACTACCTATAAGACATTTAGTTCCCTCTCCCTGGGTTTTTTCTCCTTTTCTCCAGGCTGAAGAGATGTTAATAGGCTACTTTACCTGGAGAGTATCCTTGAAATATGTGTTTAACTACTGATGCTAAACAATCTGTTCCACCTTGCATTTAGCTGTGACAGTCTGAGTACATTGCAGCGACTTGAAGAACAGCTCTCTGAAGCCCAAAAGCTTGTCTGTCACCAACAGAAGTTGATCCAATAGAAGATACTACCTCACCTACCTTGTGTCTCTGTTGTCTCATGACAGCTGTGCCGTTCTCAAAGGCCAGCACGGTTCCTGAAATGGTTCTGAACTCACTGCTCCCGCTTTATACTTATGTTAGACCATACTACAAATGCACCTACTGATGACAGCTATTGTCAAGCCATAGGGGATTTTCCTATTGTAGTCAAGACTAGCCGAGTGATATCCACTGCACAGGAGGCGCCTGCCTTTACACAGGATGGAAAACAAAGAATTTCCAGAGAAATGACAGCTGAAACAAACTTTTCAGCCCCTAAGTCAGATCATCCAAAGTACTTAGAAATCGCCTGTATCATGTCTCTCTAAAAGTACTCCTCTGCTAGCATAGCATAAAGACAGTCCTCCTGAATGAAAATATAAACAGTGACAATATCAAAAAGTAAATAATTTCCAAGGCTAAAATTTTGAAACATGTTTGCCTAAAGTTAGATTCCTAAATCCATATTCATGTTGGCATTTTTCAAAGGACTGTAAAAAGAGCTCAATTCCTAACTCCCTTAAATTCTTAGACAATTCAAATGTTAGACCCTAAATGGATTTGGCCAGAGGATGCTAAGTAAGCCCTTTTGAAAATGAGGCCAAACTTATTTAACAGCCAAACTCTAGGCTACATGAATCTTGGTCTAGTGGTCCTGAATCATTATCCTGATGGACCATGGATTTCGCTGGACCAAAGAACCCCAGCAACCAGGAACTGGCCAGGAGTGCTGTGGGCAGGAGATGTGGCCAGCTGCGTGGCAGTGGGGCCAGTGGCAACAGGGGAGTCCTGGGGCAGACAGCAGTGGGGTTGGTGGTGGCTGGGGAGCCCAAGCCCCGGGGAGCCCCAGCCGAGAAGCAATAGTGGAGCCAGCAGCAGTAGGTCTGGCGGTAGCCAAAAAGCCGTAGCAGGGAGCCCTGCCAGACTGGACCAGAGCATTGACCTCTCCTGGTCCTGCAGACTCCCTGGTTCTGGACTGTTCAGGTCCCAAGGATGCTGGATCAGGTGGTCCCACTTGTACTTTAGAAAAATCAGTGATTATGGATTTCTGACTATCAACACACAAAAAGCAAAAAACAAAACATGTCTTGAAAAATGTCTGGCATGGAAGTCTTTTTTCGGAACACAGCATGCCTACCTACATAATCAGTGGAAACTGTCTTTGTATGTGCCTATGCTAATCCTTCTAACTAATTGCTATGTTGCTGTGAAAAACTGAAAGATGTGAAGTGGTAGATACTTACGGTAATCACATCTATGCACAAACTCAACTTAATCAACTCTTGTATTGCTCCAGTGAATGTTACAACAGACATCACAACAAAAAAGGTATAATAAATACAATTTAAATAAATGTCTCATATTTAAGTGATTTTCCCTTCCCCCAGCCCTGTTTTCTCCTGTGGACTTCAAGTAACTTTATCCAAGATCTGAGTGTTTATTCTGATTATGACCTTCAGGGATTTTTCTTTTCTTTCTTTTTTCTTTAGAAACAGGGGACATTGAAGATACAAAATATGGGGAAAATGTGTCATATTTGCCCTTGGATTTGTAGCCAGAGTGGTGACAATGGCTCTTTCTCATTGTATTGTTGCTTTTATCAGCAAGTGCCCTAAGCATATATTAACATAATTGCAAACTGTATGAAAAATGAACATGTAAAAATGTGATGCAATTGCCAGTAGCCTTAAACATCTGTCCCAACAAAGTGTTTCTTCTACTTCTTTTTAAAATGATCATTATTTAAACAAGGTTAGTGAAGGAGAAGTCACGTCACAGATACCTACATTTACAATGTTGGAACAATTATTGATGCAAAATGGTTACCCTAGCAAAATGTCACATTTTCCCCACTCACCCATGACATCTGCTCACTTTGCTAACATAGCACCAGTTAAAACAAGACAAAAAGATGAAGATGCATTTAGAACTGATAGTCAGAAAAATACTGATTACCAAAGCTACTACCAACTCTGTGTGGTGTTTCTCTGTTGCTGCTACACAGCAAACCTCTATGGGTGTGTCTACACAGCAACCTTAGTGTAAATTGCATAGCTTATTTCAAGCTATGAAAATTGTGCAGCTTATTTTGAGTGTATTTCAAAATAGCTTATTTTGTAATATAGCACTGTCTACACAGTGCCAAATTTCAAAATAACTCACTATTCCGAAATTCCCCTTAACCCTCGTTCTACCGGGATGTTGGAATAAGCTGCCTATTATTTCAAAATCTATTTAGAAATAACGCGTTGCTACAATAGACGCAGAATAACTATTTTGGGATACTTCCGGTATCTCAAAATAGCTCCGCAGTGTAGACATACCCTCAGACAGCTAATGAAATGCAATTGAACTAAACTTATTGAAGAAACTAAACAATAGTTTAGATCAAAGAGAAATCATTCATCGGCCTGCATTTCAATCCCAACAGCAACATCTTTGAAAAACATCATGCAAAAGATATGAAACTGCTAGTGACCAAAAATTCAACCAGTAACACATTTTGGGAATGTACTTCAAGGTTTTCAGAATTAACCTGCAAATTCTACCACCAACAGTGCATGCTGAAAGCCATTGACTCTTGACACCCTTTAAATGTATTTAACATTGAAGAGAGTAAAACTTATTTTTCTGTGATACTTGAACATACATTGTGAATTCTAGGGCATCTACCTTGCAGATATACCACTCACTGTAACCCCAGGAGGCTTAAAGAAATATCAGCACTCAAATTCATAGAGTAAAGGTCTAAAGAGGCAGCCCTGTGAATGGATAACTACCCGGAACTTTGCCAAGCACAATATAGCTGTCACTTGTTATTATGTTACAGATTTTCCAGGGAACAGTGTTTTTCATTTTGCATGCCAGAGACAGGGAAAAAACCCACATTTAGAGATACATCTCTTTAAGAAAAGATAAAAGCTAAATCTTGTAGCTTACTCACCAGGGTTGGTTATAGTCAGCAGGTCAAGTTGCCGTTGTTGCTGAAAAGCAAATTGGAATTGTTAAAAGGGGACAAATTTCAATGGGTCATCTTAGACATGCAAAGAAAGTGTTCTGACATTTACACTGGAATAAATTAGAAGTTACATGGCTCAGAGTAACTATGTTGGATGGGAGCCATATGTACCTTCCAAGTAAGTAAAGAAATCTTGTTAGTCCCTTCAGTGCATTTGTATTTACATTTCTGAATTAGGTTTTTGGATAAAAGTGCTAATATGTGTGTCCATGTGTACTTTTAACTAGCTTGCTCAAATCTCAGGGATCCTAGAATTCATAGAAAAATAGTAAGGAATCAAGACATTCAAGTATGATTCTCTTCTTGACTAAGGGTATATCTACACTACAGAGTTTTTTTGGAAAAATGGACGTTTTTCTGAAAAAACTTCAATTATGTCCACACTGCAATCGCATTCTTTTGAAAGAAAATTGAAAGAACAGAGAGGCTTTTCTGACATTGGTAAACTTCTTTCTATGAACAAGAAGCCTTTTCCAAAAAGAGTTCTTTTGGAAAAAGGTGTGTGTGGACAGGGAAGAAGGAGTTATTTTGAAAGAAGAGGAAAGAGGAAAAAGCACAGGTGCACTGGTGGCCACTCCATCCATAGTAATCACAGCTTAAATATGAGATAGCGTCCATTCAGTGTTGATGCTATCTTTCGAAAAAGCAGATCAATTTTTCGATGCACTTTTGCTGTGTAAGCGACGAGGAGTCCTGTGGCACCTTATAGACTAACTGAAGTGTTGGAGCATAAGCTTTCATGGGCAAAGACCCACTTTGTCAGATGCATGTCTGTGTAGATGCTCTCTTTCGGAAAAAGTTTTTTCATAAGATCTCTTCCAGAAAAGCTTCTTCCGAAAGAAGCCTGCAGTCTCGACATAGCCTAAGTCACCATCTCACAGCTTAGACTTGGGTAAACAAATAATTATAGTCCTTTGGAATATGAATGACCAATTCATATTCATTTTAATGGGATGTGGGTACTTTATCGGGCTTTGAATATTTGAATCTAGTTTGTATATTGGTAAAGTGGGTGTTGGGATTTTTTTGTTTATTTGTTTTGGGGTTTTTTATATTGGAGTGTTGAGTCTTAATTGTTTGAACACTTCTTTGGGAGCCTTGGATAAATGGTGAAATGAAAGTATAAATTAATACTTGTAGTAGTATAATAAATAAGAAATCGATGAAAGGAAATACTTGCTCACATAATGAATTGTTAATCAGTGGAATTCATTGCTTCATATTTGACTGATTCCAAGAGTTTAGGAGTATTCAAAACAAGATTAGACATTTATATGGCTAATAAGATGACCCTGAGTTAACAGTAAATATTAGCAAAAGAATCAATAGTTTTGAAAGACATTTATGTTCTCATGATTCAGGGCATAAACCAACCTCTAACTCATAAGGATTAGGCTAAATCCCTGCAGGTGGATAATCTCATCACTGTTTATGGCAGAGTTTAAGTGCCTGCTCCTGAAACAGGTGGTAGTGGCAGTGACAGGACACTTGCCTAGATAGACCACCAATCCATTATGAAAATTCCTGTTCCTATGATGTTATCAGTTTCAGCTTCTACACGGGCTAAACTTCTACTAGATAGGGCTTTGTATCACTATGGTGACACAGCAAGTTTACACTTTTCTTCTCACAAGTGAGTTTTATTATTGTCTATTTTAACTTGCACTTTTTAATAATTGTTATCCCCTTAAAACTCACTACGGCCAACACTTGTGTGTCTATCTGGTTTCACAGGATATACTGTCCAGTTTAATTTCTCTCTCCTAATCTGCTCAATAATGTCTGTGTTACTTTCATTTATTGTCAGGCCTATTGATCCTTTTCTAATCTAATTCACATCATTACACTCTCTCTATTCTTCTGGTGACAGCTGAAAGTCCTTGAAAAGGAAACTGTGTGTCAGTAATCCCTACAGTGGATATTCTTCTCTAGAAATCTTACTGATTAAGGACCTTTCCAGGCCCAACCTTGCAGTCTCTGTACAGGCAAAACGCGACCAACTCAAGCCAATGAGCACAGTTCATCACTGCTGTTGAAGGCCTGTGCAACTTCACTGAACTTGCTTGAGTTGTATGCCCATATATACCAGTGAAGAACTGTGTGCACTGGATGCTTTCTCCATATCAGACTCTGGGATTGAGTCTCTTCCTCATGAAAGTTGAATTTCCAGAGGAGAATGCTGCCTCCTTCTTGTTTACTATGTCACTTGAAAGTCAGAAAAGGCTTTCGCATGGCATTGTTGTAGCTGGTGTCAGAAGATATTCACATGCCAGACACACAGCAGATTCATATGACCCTTCATGCTTCAATCACCATTTCAGAGGCCATGCTGATGACAGGTTCTTCTCAATAATGATAAAGCAGTAGAAACCAATGCAAGTTCATTTTCATCATGGGTACGTCTACACTACAGCGCTAGTTCGAACTAACTTAGTTCGAATTAGTTAATTCGAACTAAGCTAGTTCGAACTAACGTCCGTTAGTTCGAACTAACTTTAATAGGTGCTACACTAGCGCTCCGCTAGTTCGAATTTGAATCGAACTAGCGGAGCGCTTAGTTCGAACTAGGTAAGCCTCATTTTACGAGGACTAACGCCTAGTTCGAACTAGCTAGTTCGAACTAGGCGTTAGTCCTCGTAAAATGAGGCTTACCTAGTTCGAACTAAGCGCTCCGCTAGTTCGATTCAAATTCGAACTAGCGGAGCGCTAGTGTAGCACCTATTAAAGTTAGTTCGAACTAACGTCCGTTAGTTCGAACTAACTTTAATAGGTGCTACACTAGCGCTCCGCTAGTTCGAATTTGAATCGAACTAGCGGAGCGCTTAGTTCGAACTAGGTAAGCCTCATTTTACGAGGACTAACGCCTAGTTCGAACTAGCTAGTTCGAACTAGGCGTTAGTCCTCGTAAAATGAGGCTTACCTAGTTCGAACTAAGCGCTCCGCTAGTTCGATTCAAATTCGAACTAGCGGAGCGCTAGTGTAGCACCTATTAAAGTTAGTTCGAACTAACGTCCGTTAGTTCGAACTAACTTTAATAGGTGCTACACTAGCGCTCCGCTAGTTCGAATTTGAATCGAACTAGCGGAGCGCTTAGTTCGAACTAGGTAAGCCTCATTTTACGAGGACTAACGCCTAGTTCGAACTAGCTAGTTCGAACTAGGCGTTAGTCCTCGTAAAATGAGGCTTACCTAGTTCGAACTAAGCGCTCCGCTAGTTCGATTCAAATTCGAACTAGCGGAGCGCTAGTGTAGCACCTATTAAAGTTAGTTCGAACTAACGTCCGTTAGTTCGAACTAACTTTAATAGGTGCTACACTAGCGCTCCGCTAGTTCGAATTTGAATCGAACTAGCGGAGCGCTTAGTTCGAACTAGGTAAGCCTCATTTTACGAGGACTAACGCCTAGTTCGAACTAGCTAGTTCGAACTAGGCGTTAGTCCTCGTAAAATGAGGCTTACCTAGTTCGAACTAAGCGCTCCGCTAGTTCGATTCAAATTCGAACTAGCGGAGCGCTAGTGTAGCACCTATTAAAGTTAGTTCGAACTAACGTCCGTTAGTTCGAACTAACTTTAATAGGTGCTACACTAGCGCTCCGCTAGTTCGAATTTGAATCGAACTAGCGGAGCGCTTAGTTCGAACTAGGTAAGCCTCATTTTACGAGGACTAACGCCTAGTTCGAACTAGCTAGTTCGAACTAGGCGTTAGTCCTCGTAAAATGAGGCTTACCTAGTTCGAACTAAGCGCTCCGCTAGTTCGATTCAAATTCGAACTAGCGGAGCGCTAGTGTAGCACCTATTAAAGTTAGTTCGAACTAACGTCCGTTAGTTCGAACTAACTTTAATAGGTGCTACACTAGCGCTCCGCTAGTTCGAATTTGAATCGAACTAGCGGAGCGCTTAGTTCGAACTAGGTAAGCCTCATTTTACGAGGACTAACGCCTAGTTCGAACTAGCTAGTTCGAACTAGGCGTTAGTCCTCGTAAAATGAGGCTTACCTAGTTCGAACTAAGCGCTCCGCTAGTTCGATTCAAATTCGAACTAGCGGAGCGCTAGTGTAGCACCTATTAAAGTTAGTTCGAACTAACGTCCGTTAGTTCGAACTAACTTTGTAGTGTAGACATACCCCATCTGAGTGAGATGCCACCAGCAGATGGCTGTTTTTTTGTTTTTTTTATGGTGGTGGTTCATGTTCTGTAGTTTCCACATCAAAGTGTTGCTCTTTTAAGATTTCTGAGAGCATGCTCCATATCTCGTCCCTCTCAGATTTTGGAAGACATTTCAGAGTCTTAAACCGTGGGCCAAGGGCTGTAACTACCTTTAGAAATTTCACATTGGTAACATCTTTACAGTTTATCAAATCTGCAGTGAAAAATGTTTTCAAGATGAACAACATGTGCTGGTCCCTCATACAAGACTGCTATAACATGAAATATATGGCAGAATGCAGGTAAACCAGAGCAGAAGACATGCAATTCTCCCCTCAAGAGTTCAGTCACAAATTTAACTAATGCATTATTTCTTTAACGAGTGTTATCAGTATGGAAACATATCCTCTGGAATGGTATGTCAGACATGTAGGGACATATGAATATTTAGCACATTTGGCAGGTAAATACCTTGCAATGCGGGCTACAGAATTACCATGTGAATGTCTGTTCTGACTTTTAGATGATACTGTAAATAAGAAGTAAGCAGCATTATTTCACGTAAAACATGGTTGCTTACATTTTCTTAGCAATTAGCTGAACAAGAAGTATGACTGAGTGGACTTGTAGGCTCTACAATTTTACGTTTTGATTTTGAGTGCAGTTATATAACAAAAAAATCTAAATTTGTAAGTTGCCCTTTCATGATAAAGAGCTTGTGCTATAGCATTTGGATGAGTCAAACTGAAAAATACAATTTCTTTTACCGTTTTTACAGAGCAAACATTTGTAATAAAAATAATATAAAGTGAATACTGTACAA